AATTGGCCGCGTGCCGCTCTGGCCACCCACCGGAAATATCGACTATTACGAGTACCGCTCTGTGCTCTATGTATGCGCGGCGAGCAGTGTAACAAGCTGCGAGGTCGCTACAACGCACAACGTCGAGCTTCAACAGTATTTTTACTGTAAGCTGGTGAATTTTCACGCAGATTTCAAATGTAGAAGTTTTCAGTGCAGTGTAAGAAGGTCTTCCTTCAGTCAGGTAAACTCGCTGGACAGCTGCTTATTCTTTGGAACAGTCAAAGGTCTGGCTTTTCTTTTCTCTATTCTCAGATATTTTTTATCTTCACGATCAAATTTACTTTAAAAACGATCATTTGAGAAGCCTGATCACCGACACGATGTAAGACGGAGAGATAACTCACGAGACGATGTGAGAGGGTCTGCCCACCACCGTGTGAGAGGTTCGTTTGGCTCGGTGGCCTCTGACCAGCTGGTGCGCTGTTGCGTGTCTCGGCTCATTATCGACTCATTAGCGTACCTCCATTGGCGTGCGCAGTGAACGGTGAAACGGCGCCGCGGGCAGGATACACCGGGGGCACGCTCGAGCGATCCCTGGTCACGGCGACGTGGTGGGGGGTGCTGCCGACAGAGGTCAGGAGGACCTTGGTGCTCTGAAGATTCTGGTATGGTGTGTCGCTTATGCAGCGTGGTGTTAGATGCAAATGCTTACAAATGCATGTTTTCGTGAGACGGACGGGAAAAGTTCATCAAAATCGCACACCGTGATGTTGCCTAATGATTTTTCATTTTTGCTTAATTTTATTCGGTATTGATCCCGTTATTAATCGGGCTCTGTAGACGATAATTTTAGAGAAATACTGCCTCGGGAAACCTGTCATTGTATGTGGATAAAAATCGATATCCCATTGGAAGTGAATGGGATTTGGTAATGCTACCGCGGTATTTTGTGTCTGCGAACTGCACAGGATTGATGTGATGGTGTAATATTGAAGGTCAAAACTGTGTCGTCTTCAGTGCAACCATTTTTATCACTAGCATCGTTGTAAGTAATTCATCCATCAATTAATGCAGACTGGTAATTTCATTGTCAATTGATCTACCATTTGCAACAGCCTGTGGTTTCGCGTTACGCTGTACACATTTCATTTAAACTGAAAGATAGGTTCTGGTTGCAATGCTGCACTATTGGAACAGGATAAGCCATTTTCGTTGTCAACTTGAAAATGCCAAGATCTGGTTGCTGATGATCTGCGATAACGAATCACAGAACATTTCACGAAGGTCTTTTCTCTGGCGGACTATGGCTGGCTTATTCGTTAGGCATTATGGTTAGGCAAATGTGTTTTGCATGTACCCAAATAAGGATTTATATTTTCTGAGGCGACAAACTGATTTAGCCCTCGCCGGACCTATTGGTTTTCTACATACGCGCCGGCCGAGGGGAAGGGGGGGGGGGTACGACCCCCCTCGCGGTTTCGCCCCTGGTGGAGCTAGCGCGTCGCGGAAAAAAACGAGCGTGTGCGCCGTTACGAGACGCAAAGATTGGTACCCGATTGTAAGGTCCCAGATCAACCGGTGACCTCTGAGGTCAGGTCAAGTGCCCCAAGGTGCGGTTCAGTTTTTGGTGAATAACTTCGCAAAAAAACGGCCGCAGAGCCGCGATTTTGGCAGCATCGTGTTCGCCTCGCTCAGGCGCGTCGAATGATGTAATTTTTGTTCGGGTCAGGTCAACTTAGGCTGTTGACCTAGGTCAAGGACAGGTCAGCACCCCCAGGTCACGAAGCTGGTCGAACAGGGCATATTTTAAGGGATTTTCACTGGGTCGGCAATCACAATTAGGGGCGGCATTTCGCACTCATAGGGGCGGCACTTGGCATCTGAGGGGGGCGGCATACCTACTGATATTTAATGACCAAAAAAGAAATGTTCGACGGTTCTTTTATAGCTCCTTCTAAGTAATGATTTCAGATTCAACCTAAGCTCAGCGGTATTATGTTTATTTTCCGGGATATAGTATTTCTCTCGTCATAATGCGATAAATGAACTATAATTTGACTTTACAAATATTAATTTAAAAATTTTACCTGAGGTCAAGTTCATGACCTCACCAGAAATAAAACGTGTTGCATACCAGTCGATTCGTATCGTCAAGCTTAAAACATTCACGGTGTTTTATGGCTCTATCTATACATAGAACAGTGGTCGGCAGGTCGCGCGAGTGGTGTCCACTTTATGGGCGCTGGACGGGGCCATTACCCCCACTAATCATACCCCATTGCTTACACAGCAAGGGTCGCTGATATTCGGCCATACCCTTTGACGCATCTATTTTTCTGCATATAAATAAAATGCAACACAATTAACTCTTTTTTATGGAGAGGGAGAGCGGGTGGAGTAAGGATGAACTCATACATTTTTTATTTATTAGTTACTCGCGTGATGAACAGCGTATTGCAACGATACGTTCACCCCCCCCCCCCCCCACGTTAATGAATGGTATACCTACCTACTCAAATATTTTCGTGACCCCAGTGACATTTTCATTGAGTTTTTGAAATTTGAATGAACTTCACTCGGTAACTTTCTCTCCGGCTCGGCCGGCGGACAAAACGCAAGCGAAGACAATGCGGGGAGTCCGGTGCTCTACCAACTGAGCTACGGAACAGGCAAATGCTCACCATAGATACACCGACTGAACGATCCCTTTATAACGTCAGCGATTGATAAGACAAACAGTGTGTAACTGTATATATAAAATGTAAGTCTCGAAATTGCTATGTCTTTGACCAAAGGTAAGGACAATTTTGCGACCCTTCCATTAGGTATAAGGAAATGGGAGAAAATCAGGGCATGTGCCTCTTTTATAGGTAGAGAAATGTCAAAGACAAAGTTAACGAATTTAAACATCATAAAACAATTAAAAATGACACACTTAATCGGAAAATTGCCACCCACGACCACGACCCCTCGTTATGTCCTTGAGGTCATGTCAGGTCATGGAAGGCCTCCAGCAGTTTTTTTTCAATAACTTCTGATAGAGACATGCGACATGCCTGAGCGATGAAAACACCTTAGATGATTTCAGTTTGACGATACAAATCGACTGATATGCAACATGACCTTTACTAGTCAGGTCATGACCTGGACCTGAGCTCAAATTTCCCAAATGACATTTGAATGTCAAATTATAGTTCATTCGACGCATCTCGACGAGAGGAGCACAGTACTGAAAAAAACAATGTCATAACTTTCGTGAGTCAATAATTATAATAATAATAATAATTATTATTATTATTTACTGTAATAATTATTACAGTAAAAAGGTTCTTCATTAAAACAGCTCAGTAGAGGGGTGGAGGGGGTCCACTGTCCACTCCAACCCTCCCCGGCCCGGCACGGGTTAAACTAGTTGTGCTCTGGAGGTTAAGCCGTTGATGTTAGGTCAAGTCTGAGGACTTTATAGGAACGTTGAAGAGCTATCGAATGCGCTTTTTTTCGCGGTGCTGTACATAGTTCTATTCTTCCCCGAATTATACGCCAGTTTGTCAATAAATGTTGAAACAGACAACATTTCACGCACATTTCACCTTTGATGACCTCTGGTCACCTGATATTTGACATTTGACTTGACCTAACCAAAGTACGGTTAACCAACTAACCCAAGTAGTTTTTGACACTCTTTCGAATGCCGCTTACCGCGTGTCGCTACGTGGCCCAGTAGCCAAGTTATAGGGGTCGGGAGGGGGGTTCAAACAGCCTCAGCCCGGCGCCGGTTAAGGGAAGGCACTATCATTTTGGGGGCGCTGCAGATATGCTAAGGGACGACAGCATCATTTTGAGGCGCGCCACCAACTTTTTTTAGGGCACTTAAACCACTTTGAGGGGCACCACCGACACTGTGAGAAGCGCAATTATCTCTTTGAGCGTTGGGGGTGGCAACATTACATTGGAGGGCGCCATGTGCGTAGTGATGTGGGGCAAAATGACAATGAGGAGTGCCTCCGATACTTAAAGAAGAGACGCCAACATTACTCGGGGGGCAACATCAATTTTATTTTAAGGACACCACCACATTGTAAGGGGCGGCACTGTAACTTTAAGGACCACCGCGTATACTTTAACCCGCGAGTTGCTGGGGGGGGGGGGGGGCGTTGAACGCCCCCACTTTTTTCGCCGGGTCATAGCATAAAAACGGCGGGCCGCAGGCGCGCCAAATTTTGGGTACCTGTAGGAAATTGATTGAAGGTCATTGATTTTAAAAGTTTCAAAAAAAATCGGTCAGAAAATTTTTTAGATATCGAGGTTCCGTTTTAGTGACGTGATGATTTATGAGTTTATGACCAAAAACGGCATATGTTCAAAAATCATATAAAATCACAAAATAGACATACAGACATGTCGTAAACGCCATTAGACTGCCAATACTTTGAACAATGAAATAGCTATCTTCGATTATTGATTATCGTTCCGCATTTTCCAAAATCTTGAACTGAACCTTGTCAATTTCTCGTGACTTCTTCACGACCATGATACATGCATTTCTTAAATTGAACTTTTTGAGCCAAACACGTACACATATGACAAAATGAATGTCACCATCGTGTTCTACGCCCCAAATTACCCATAAAACATGTGTCACAGGCTGCGAATATCAGTTTAGATTTTCGGGGATATGTGCCTACCCGGTTGACCTGACCTTGACCCTGACCTATGCTTGACTGACCCCTACATGGAGCTGACACTCTTGTAGACCTTTGTAGTGTATTGCACTCACACATTCATCACTCGCACTCAAGACTGAACATACAGAACTAATGTGCCCCGCGCCCTTGCCGACGGCTCGCCGGCGGGCACCCGACTCCGTCTCCCGGCCGGCCCGGGCGCGGCGCCGCGGTGCGGCCGTCCCGGTTACCTGACCCGGCCGGCTAAAGGTCGGACTGGCTCCGGCCGCCGCTGCCAGCCGGCGGGGGGCCCGGGGAGGGGTACTACACTACATTCCCTTCCCCCCGAAGCGCTCATCTCCACCAGCGCCTCGTTGCCCGTCCCGCTCGCGTGCGGTACGGGCCCTCCATGTTTCCGGCGTCCTCGACGTCGACGTTAGAGGCATTTCCGGCAGTCGGCTGTCTCCACGCCGACAGTCTCGGCGCCGCCGCCGGCGTCGTCAGGAAGCAGATCAGGCTCGTCAGCCTGTTCTCGCCCGCCTCCTCCGGGAACGTCAGGCCGGCGGACAGATGTATGACACGGGGAGAGTCGCTCGGCATGGACTCTGATGCCACCCTCCAGCTCGAACGACACGGGACCACGCTGTGCGGTGACGACACATGGCTTGGAAAACCGAGGTTTTCCCTTGCGCGGCCTTGGCATCAGGCGATAGCGAACGAGATCGCCTACCTTTATGTCGGGCTTCCTTGCCGTTCGGTCATGATACCGCTTCATCTTTCGCTGCTTCTTCCGGACGTGCTGTTGGATGGCGCCGTCACCTCTGCAGTCACTGCTCTGCACCACGGCGTTCTCCAGTGACGTCCGCAGCTGGCGTCCGTGCAGCAGCTCTGACGGGCTGCGTCCCGTCGTGGCGTGCGGCGTCGCCCGGTACACCATCAGGAACTGCTGAACGTGCCGCCGCCTGTCTGCTTTCTGCTGCTCACCTATCTGGATGGCAGACTTCAGACTGCGGTTGAAGCGTTCCACAGCTCCGGAACCTGCTGGGTGATACGGGGACACCTTGATGTGTTTGATCCCGTTAGCCTGCAAGAACGATGCAAACCGTGCTGACGTGAAATGGGTTCCATTATCACTCACCAGCTCTTTCGGCCAGCCTTCTCTGGTCGCCACTGACTTCAGGAAGTCAATCACGGCGTCTGTACTTGGCTCTGATACAAACGCCACCTCCGGCCACTTGGAGTAGTAGTCTGTGAGCACTATGCCGTACCTCTGATTTGCCGGACCCTGCATCGGACCAATGAAGTCCACTCCCACCTTGTCCCACGGCGCAGTAGGCAGCGAGACCGGGATGAGAGGCGTCCTGGACGTCTTGGTCGACTTGTCCGCAACAGAGCAGGTGGGACAGTTCTTGACGGCTGTCTCCACCTCGCCGTCCATCCCTGGCCACCAGAAGACTGCGCGCAGACGCTGCTTCGTGCGCACTATCCCGGGATGGCTTTCGTGGGCAACTGTCACCACGCGGGTTCTGAGGGCAGAAGGAACAAGTATCCTCTCACCTCTGAACACCACACCCTTCTCGATGCTCAGCTCGTTCCTGTACCTGAAGTAGGGCTTCAGCACAGGCGGCACCTCCCTCAGTTTCGACGGCCAGCGCTGTGGGATCTGCGAGATCAGCGCCTTGACCTCGTCATCTTCAAGGCCTGCTGCGGCGATATCAGCGCTGCTCACCGCCGGCATCATCTCCTCCAGGGCTGCGACCAGCTGGTCCTCGTCTTCTGCAACCCCATGACTGCCGGGAAGGCGTGAGATGCCATCAGCCTGGTTCAACTTCCCCTCGATGTGCTGAACCTGAAACGCATAGTTCATCAGCTTGACGGCCCAGCGAGACATTCGCATACTGGCCCGACCGATGCCCTTGGCAGACAGCAGAGAGCGAAGGGCAGCGTGGTCCGTCCGCAAAACGAACTCCTTGCCCCACAGGTACTTGTGCCACTTCTGACACGCCCAGACGCATGCCAGGCCCTCTCTGTCAGTTACGCTGTACTTGCGCTGTGCTGCGCTGAGCGTGCTGGAGGCGAATGCCACCACTCTCTCTCCATCTGGGTGGATCTGTGAGAGAACGGCCCCGAGACCAACGTCGCTGGCGTCGGTCGTGACGAACGTCTGCAGACTGGGGTCGAACGGTGCCAGCGCAGACGAGTTCAGGATCGCCGACTTCACATCCTCCAGCGCAGCTGTCATCTCCTCCGTCCATCGGAAGGCTGGGGCGTCTTTCCTCAGCGGCTGCCGCAGAGGTTCTACCCGAGAGCTGAAGTTGGGCACGAACTTGCTGTAGAACGCGAGGGACCCCAGTGCAGCCTGGAGCTCCTTGGTGTTCTGGGGTTGTCCCATGTCTCGAAGACCTTGGACCCGATCTGGTGAGATTTCGATCCCACGCTCCGACACGACGAACCCCAGGAACTCCAGCGACACAACACCTAGCAGACACTTTTCCCTGTTTAGCGTGATGTCGTAGTCCTTCAGCCGCTTCATGACGGTGCTGAGCCTCGCGTCGTGCTCTGCACGGGTGGGCGCTGTGACCAGTACGTCATCCAGGTAGACTTGAACACCAGGGATGCCTTGCAGAACAGTCTCCATGAGCTTCTGGAAACACTGCGGAAGACTTTTGAGCCCAAAGCAGCACCGCTTGTACCTCCAGGTCTGACCCTCATGCACGAAAGCAGTGAGGTTCCTGGACTCCTCGTGCAGCTCCAGTTGATGATAGGCTGACTTCATGTCGAGCTTGGACATCACCTTGGCACCTCGGAGCTTGTCCAGCATCTCCTGCATCGGAGGGATGGGGTAGCCGTTTGCGACAATGGCTTTGTTCACCGCCGTCAGATCGAGACAGATCCTCAGGCCCTCACCTCCTCGCTTCCGGACCACGACAATCGGAGACAACCAGGGCGAAGAGCCACAGGGTACCTTCTCGATGACTCCTTGGGCTTCCAGGGACTCCAGATGGTCACTGACCTCCTGCCTCACAGCGTACGGTAGAGTCCTCAGGTGTGGCGTGCTGGGCACAGCTCCGGGAATCAGACGCACCTTGTGGATGAATCCCTTGATGGCTGGCAGCACCTGATCCTGCTTCACCTGGCAGACGACACTGCCACGGCTCACCGTGACTCCGAGCTGATGCTGGAGATCACGGCCCATGATCGGTACATCACCCACCGCCACGTACAGTTCCGCTGGAACGGAGAGCTGGTCCGGTCCTGTGACGTCAGCTGACATCTTACCCAGCACCTTAATGCCGCTGCCGTTCCACTGGGCGAGCTTACCCGCAGGACGGAGAGGGACGTGACTGAAGAGCTGCCAGTACGTCCTCGCTGGGACGATGCTGACCGCCGAGCCGGTGTCAACCAGCATCCTGACACGCTTCATCTCAATGAAGGCATCATAGTACGGGCACGACACTGTCTGAACGACAGGACATACGTCATCCTTAGCAGACACGGACAAAATTTGCACATTGTCAACAGCACCGGTCTTGTTAGAACGAGGACAACACTTGCTTAAGTGTCCGACAGTGTTACACTTGAAACATTTCAGGTTCCTCGCTCTGCACTCCTTGTCATTTGCCCAGTGACCCGGTCGACCACAGGCACGACACGTACCTGACTTCTTCACAGGAGGCTGACGCTGCGTCTGCTTACGCGCTGAGTCACTGCGGCTCGTGCTGCGCCGCTGCCCAGTATACGCCACCTCCACCGCAGGAGCTGAAGGTGAAGTCGCACCGGCAGATGAGTCTTGCAGTAGAGCTTTTCGCCGCAAGCCCCGGTCGTGGGCCTCGGCGACAGCCTCTAGCTTGGAGAGAGATAGGTCATCAATCATTATCAGCTTGTCACGAAGCTGGTCAGAGCGACAACCCTCGATAAACTGATCACGCAGTATGTCGTCAGTCAGGGCACCATAACTGCAACAGGCCACTGCCTCGCGGAGGTTGGCCAGGAAAATCACGCATGACTCATCAGGGCCTTGGGTGCATTTCCGGAATTTCAAGCGTGCAGAACGAACATCAGAATCGCTCTCAAACAGTTTCTTGAAAACAGCTACAGCAGCATCGAACTGAGACACAATTGCAGCACCAGCGCCGCCGGCGTCAGTGTCACTTACTCCAGGTTCGATGTTCTCCTGCTTGGTAGCTGAAGCAGCAGCTCGGTAGAGTCGACGTGCCTCCGCTCCGACTGCTGTCAACAGGAACGCTGTCCGACGACCGTCCGTCCAGTCCAACCACCCGCTGGCCTCAGCGAAGACCAGGAAGTCCTCGTACCATTGTCGCCAGCTCCCAGGACGCTGTCCCGGCCGCGACAGGAACTCCGGTGGCGCCGGTGACTGGAACATGTCGTCTTGAATGCAGTCCGCTTATCTCAGCCTCTTGTCGCCACTTGTAGTGTATTGCACTCACACATTCATCACTCGCACTCAAGACTGAACATACAGAACTAATGTGCCCCGCGCCCTTGCCGACGGCTCGCCGGCGGGCACCCGACTCCGTCTCCCGGCCGGCCCGGGCGCGGCGCCGCGGTGCGGCCGTCCCGGTTACCTGACCCGGCCGGCTAAAGGTCGGACTGGCTCCGGCCGCCGCTGCCAGCCGGCGGGGGGCCCGGGGAGGGGTACTACACTACAACCTTATTTGATGGCTTGAGCACCGTTTTGACAGAGTTTATGACGAGAGGCGCCCATTGCGAAGTCCTGAAGTCCATGCTACTGAAAGCCCGATTTTAGGTGTTTGACCTGACCTTGACCCGATCTGTGACTTCAAAATTCAACTTTAAAGTACTCATCTGAAGCGTCCCGTCGCGTTTTTTCGTTTGCCGCCTCGTGCAGTTCGCTGCGCCTATTGGTTCTCCAGTTATCGGCTGGGGGCGTTTAACGCCCCCCCCCCCCCCAGCAAACGGTGGGTGGCGAAATACCCCAGCAACTGCCGGGTTAACCCTATTCCTGGCGGGCTCCGCCGGGACAAGAAACTGGCGGGGGGGGGGGGGCCGATTCGGCCCCCCCTTCAGATCTCAAAAACTACACATCGCAGCGACAAACGGCGAACGGCGTTTCATAGGTCGTTTAAAGATCTACAACTTTTACAAAAAACATTTTCAGGTCAGGTCAATATTGAGGTCACCAGAGGTCATCAACGATAAAATGTTTTGGAATTAGTTACCTATATAACTTTTAAACTAAGAAACATAGAGACATAAAACCAATACATTTTTTGTTGCTCTCGCCGAGGCAATGCGAAATAAGTATGTGATGACCTTCACAGGTCAATTTGAAATTTGACCTGAGGTCAAGGTCAGGTTATTCATCAATGAGGTTGTGGGGTATGGTCATGCTGCATACCAAACGACGCGCCTTGACCAGGCGAGCAGTTTGGTACCACTTGCAAGTCTTTAGCACCATCATGTCGTGATTTATTTACAGAAAAAACGATTTATGATGTCACATGACCTCAGATGACCTTTGCCGGTGCCCCTGTCAATTAGCGGCACCAGGATCATCACCGATGAGATAATCTTCCATAATACTGAAAGAATTGGGTGGTTTTGACTCGTTTACACGAAGCAGGAGGCGTTTCAATATTTTCCCATTGGCTTGCAATGTAAAGGTCACGAGTCTGGCCTGACCTCAGGTCACAGATATGAAAATTCTGAGATATACAAATTGCACATACTGGTACCCTAACTAAAGCCTGAAGAGAAGAAATTGATCGGTCAAAAACTCTAGCTCTGGCGTGATTGCAAACTTTTCTGAGGTAGGGTCACCAAACCGCCTCTGGTGACCTGACCTGAGGTCAGATCAACTCAAAATTTTCAGAAATGTTGCGTAAAAGCCTTTTAGTAAAAGTCAGAAAATTTGAGCTTCCTAGCTCAAAGCGTTTGGGAGAAATAACCAAAAAACCTCAGGGGGGGCTCCTGAGGCCCCCCCCCGCCAGGAATAGGGTTAAGGGGCGGCTCCATCATATGGAGGGGCGCTACAGATCGTTAATGGGCGGCAATAGGTATGATATTTAGGGACTCCGATACTTCGAAGGGCGCCACCGTTTGTTTGAGCCTTGAGGGTGACATCATCACTTTGAAGGGCACCACCGATACTGTTCGGGGCGCCATCGACGCTATAAGGGGCGCCACCGACACTGCCAGGAGCACAGTCATCACTTTGACCGGCGCTTCTATCACATTTAAGGGCGCCGTGAGCATATTGAGCGGCGGCACCATGACGTGGAGGGGCGTTACGGAAGGTTTGAGGGGCGGCAACATGACATTGAGGAGCGCCTCCAACACTTCGAGGGACACCAGTAATCAGTATATCTTATAGAGGCGGCGCCTTGACTTTTGAGGAGACACCACCGACACTGTACGGGGCGGCACCATCACTTTGAGGGGCGTCTCGGATGGTTTGAGAAGCGGCACCATTATGTATGTATATGGAGGGACGCTACAGAAACTTAGAGGGCGGCAACATTGTATTGATGAGTTCCTCCAAAACTCTGAAGGGCGCCACTGACACTGTAAGGGGCGGCACCAGCACTTTTAGGGGCGGCAGCATCATTTTGAAGGCCGCCACCGACTCGTTGACAGGAGACACCATCACATTTAGGGGCGTCACGGGCACTTTGAGGGAGGCATCATCACATTGAGGGGCGCCACCGATACTGAAAGGGGCGGCATCATCTGCTTGAGGGGCAGCTCCATCACAATGAGGGGCTATGTGGATACCTAGAGGGGCGGCACCATTATATTGGTGGGTTCCTCTGACACTTCGAAGAGCGTCACTGACACTATAAGGGGCGGCAGCATCATTTTGAGGGGCGCCACCGACTCGTTGGCGGGCAGCACCATCACATTCAGGGGCGGCATCATCTTCTTGAGGGGCGGCATCATCTGCTTGAGGGGCGGCTCCATCACAATGAGGGGCTATGTGGACACCTAGAGGGGCGGCGCCAACACTTTAAGGGGCGGCAGCATCATTTTGAGGGGCGCCACCGACTCGTTGGCGGGCAGCGCCATCACATTCAGGGGCGCCAACGGCACTTTGAGGGCGGCACCATCACATTGAGGGGCGCCACCGATACTGAAAGGGGCGGCATCATCTTCTTGTGGGGCGGTATCATCACATTGAGGGGCTCCATAGATGCTTAGAAGGGCGGCACCATTACATTGAGTGGGGCTACTAACAGGTTTAGGGGCGGCACTGTCGCATTGAGTTGCGGGATCATCACTTTCTATAGACGGCTGCTTCACTTTAAGAGGCGGCATTATCATTTCGGAGGGCAGCAGTCTCACTATGAATGACGGCACCTAGCCTACATGTGCGTGCTGCATCCTAGAGGGGGCGGCAACTGGGTCGGCAAACGGCTGTCACTGGGTCGGCATTCTCCGTGACTGGGTCGGCAATTGCCGACCCAGTTAACATGTTAAAATACGCCCTGTGGTCGAAAGAGGTCACGTCGCATATCATTCGATTCGGCAGGTCTTCCTGAGTTCATTGGTGGCTTTCCCGACTCGCTAGCTCAATTTGATCAAGAGTTATTGACGAAAAACTAATATGACCTTGATGACGGTGACGCATCTAACCTTGCAAGGAGTGCATCAAATCACGATTCTGTGTGCTTAAGATAGTTAAAGATCGTTCCCGGCGCCAGAATAGCAGTTTTCATTTTCCCCATTGACTTATAATGGTGAGGTCACGAAAATGACCTGACCTCATATGACCTTTAGGAAAAATCCGAGATATACAAGTTGTGAGCCTCATAATGGATACTAGATCCTGCAAGTTTCATTTCCCTGTGACATCTCCTCTGGCAGTGAGGGCGCTGCGAAGTTGCGACATCCGAAGACCGTGCAGAAGTTCACTTATGACGTCATAGGTCAGTGACCTGACCTGACCCAAAAATGCGGTTGGTGTCAAAAGATGCGGCTTGGATCAAAGGTCAGGTATGCCAAGTTTCAGCTTTCTATCGCCAGCGTGTTCGGAGCTATCGCGAAAAACCTATGGGGGGCGGAACCCGCCCCCCCCCCCTCGGCCGGCGAGGGTTAAATCAATTGTGGTCTCCATTGTCTCATTGTCTTTTGTCCATCTCTTGGTAAGTATTTTCATATGTTTGTTCCCTTTTTCTCACTAAACATGGAACTGGGTGCTGTTCCAATATTCTTCTAACTGGGATGTTTGCGCCATCGAAATTAGATACGTAGGTAATACAAATGGAAAGGTTCAGTGCATCTCTGTTCTCGCATATGATTCAGGATAGTTGTAACTTGTATAAGGTAATCTGAACACAACAAAACTGATTGCTTTTCGAACAAACAAACAAAAAATGTAGCGTACGTGGCCCATGTTTTTGGAACAACGCTCAACCAACGTTCAACAAACAATATGCAGGCGAGGGGATCAGTGCATCTTGCAATGCGCTACACATTGCACGCCTAGTCCCTCCTCAATCATTAACCATACGTCTAGTTGATGGATACAAATCCCCTTCGACTTCCGAAACATCCATAATGAGGCGAAAGCTGCATATGTGAAACAGCTCTCCATCATACTTCTCAAAAGCTAAGCTTGCTATGGCCTGAAAACGTTTCATCCGGCGGCCAGGCCTTCAATTCGGTTTTTGTCGGTCGGACTTTGACACTAATTAGATGATAGGGCGCACGGTTCGGGCGCAGTAGCATTTGTAATTGACCGAAGAACCCAGGGTCATTATCAGATCACCCCAGAGCACGGGGGCAGCCTCAGACAAACAAGCGATCCCAGTTTAATGAGGCAGTTTTTTCTCACGGCCGATGGTCTGAGTGATGTAGTCTATTGTGTCAAGTGACATATCTAGAGGTCATTTAGAAGGGGTCTCATCTGTCACACATAGCGAGCGCTGTGCCAAGATGTGGTAACTTTTGGACGTTTTTCTGTAACAAAATGGGCACTTGGCACTTGGCAGCCATTATAGTGTGATAGCATTGCAATGTCTGTATTGTTTACAGTTAGCGGTAAAGCAGACTATACCTCAGTGCCTTCGCGCATTCCTACATTGTCTGCCCAACCCATGGATGGTCTACAAAAGGGAACCATTCATGATTGCCAATACAATGTCGCTATGTAGACCACGTAGACTACGAACATTGTATCGAGATGCAGGTAGATCTTTGGACGTAATTGATGGTGTTAACAGAACAGTTAATGAAGTACCTAATAAAAACCGGGTTAACTTTGATCTCCGCTGACGACTTACAACTTGATGAGCCAAGAAACGAGAACATGCGACATCGTTGATGACAAGATTCGATCCAACTGATAGCCGCTGATGAATGGTGACATGGCGACCGCCAGGAAAGAGCATGTCAAAGAAATGA